GCGGACAAAGGGCCTCCACAGTATGTCCAAGTGATGTTCTCCAAAAGGTGTTCGCTGAACCTAAACGCAATTCCGGCCAGAATTTCTGTCCGCTTTGTGTCTGGATTCAATTTGAAAAGTACAGCTTGATGTTAACACCCTGCTTTGAGGTGTGTGTACTGTGCTCCGTCATTGCCCTTGCGGGCACTTCTCCTCTGTTGCACTTGCCATCAGACGGATTAAACAGTTTGATGCAACAGCCGCAAACTTGTGGAGGTGATGTGCCACGAGCCGTCGACGATGTGAGTGTGTGTGTGTGTGGAGTCCCACATTGTAGGCCAATGTGTGCATGCATGTCCGCTCAAGGCGGCATGCAAACATGTTTGGTTGGACTCTTTTCGAGAAGTTGAACGATTTCTGCTTTTTAGGTGGTTTCAACATGGTGACATGTTTGATTTTGAACAAATTCCATTGATTTGTTCTTGTTCTTTCCCTGGGCCATGTGTGCATGTCCGTGAAAGGCGGCATGCAAGCTTGAATCAATCATCCCTGACCTCGTTTGCCTGCCAATGAAGGTTGTGCGAGCGTCTGAGTGAGTAATTCAGATGTTTTCAACATGCGAGTTCGGAACTCGACATTGTGATGTTGGAACGGAAACGTCGGCGCACTCCGTGCTTTCTCGATTCGCTTTCAAGTTTGTTTGGCTTGTTTTTTTAAAAATTCAGAATTCCTCAAATGGTTTCGTCATTGGTTTCCCTTTAAATTTTCTTTCACCTGCAAATCCTTGCATTTCCCTAATGGTTTCCAAAATTGTCGGTTCACGAGAAAACAAACCAACGTTGTGATTTCTTGCACGCACTGCACTCGGCTGAGCCTGAAAACAACAAGAGGCGGTTTGAAGCACGGACGGTGCGACAGCACCGAATTCCGGAGACTTTTCGGTTCTACAGGTCCGGGAGGGTGGGCAAGGTTTTAATTAGAGTTAAAGGTTTCAAAAGGTCTGGGATTTGGGTGGCTGCGGTTTCAACAGTTTTGAAAGGATCAAAGTCTTAAACAGTTTCGAAAGGCACGGGGTTGGGGTGGGAAGAGATTAAAAGTTTCAATGTTCTGAAAGTTTCCAAAGGAACGGGACAAGGGTGGGCATAGTTTCGAAAGTTTCAATGGTTTCAACGGTTTTGAAAGTTTCAATTCAATCCCCGCCCGCCCTCATCCCCAAAACTTTTCGAAGTATTGAATCTGTGGAAACTACGCTGTCGGACGTCAGTTTAAGTACTTGTAGAAGGAGAAACGTTACAGAATACATAGAAGTTTTTCTTACCCATAAAGAAATATATATATATATATGTATAAACACAAATACATCGCATTGCTGACTCGTTTCGTGAACACAGGACTTATGCTTGGCCCCTGTGGCTTGCAGAATCCACAGCGAGACCATTAATCGTTTCCCCCAAGTACTGCTGCGATTCCAGGTTTTTTCAACAAGCTAGGGTGGTCCGTATCCTTTTGTTGACAATGGGTCGTGCCTCCAGCATGTAGAACCCGTTGCGACTGACGAAAACTATGCACCGCACCACATATGGAGATTGGCACGGCGAGCTTATACGGGCATAAATAATACGACGCAAAGACCAGATTTGCACCATATGCGGCAAATAATGGGATGCCGGGAGTTGGCAAAAGCACGAAAGCAAGAACAACCGGCAACAAAAACGCTTAAAAAGAAAGGAACAGCAAGGCCAAAAATAACACCCCACCCGTTTTCTGAGCCCGAAACATATACCGCATTAGTAAAATGGGGCGGCAACAACGGTCTCACATGCAGCACAACGCCTCATAGCAAAAATGGCTGAGAGTTTCGTTGACGGAGAGTATGCACACGAGCTGTTGGCGGGATTTGATTGAGGGCTCGAGAACATGCGCGGAAACACGCCTTCAAAGTCGCGGTTGTACAAGTCAAAAACACAGTTGGCATTGGTTTGTTTGCTCCCCGAATGTTTTTGGAAACATTGTTCCAAGAGTTGCCAACTTTTTCTTTGCTCTTCAGATAAGTTTCCGGCTGGACGAAACCAAATCGAGTTGCCACGCTTTGTGGTGCCGATTCGTGATTCGTGCAACAACACTGCTGTGACTTGCGTTGTAGAGCATTAGTGCGACGTTACGCCGGGCGATGTTGACAAGAGAGTGGTGATGCAGAGATTTGTTATGGTTGGTCAGATGCATTTCGCCGCCGGTGGACCGCAGCAAATGCCACCGGCCGAAAAATCCCAGGACAAATGCTTTGTTCTGCCTTCGCATTCAAAGTACATCGTCGCTTCCATGTCGAGTATCGGAGTTCATGTCAAGATGCGCTTGTGTGGCTGTTTCGGATTTCGGCTGAATTTATTGCCAAATTCAGTATTTTCAATTGCAATGGGGCGACTTGGCCGGTGGATGCCCCAGGTAGAAACTCGACCCTTCCGGCCTGTTCGGGCAAGGAGATTTGCGGTGTTGAGTTGAGCAATCGACGACTTGATGTGGCTCGTCGCAGGTGGTGTTGAGCGAGTACAATGCCATGCGTGCGGCGAAGGCTGGTTGCTTGAGTTGAGCAGGCCATTGATATTTGTGACAATGTAGTGATAAGTTGATACAGGCAGCGAAAGACGTCCAGGCTGCACGGACTTCAGATTTTGTCCAGCCTGTCAGAGGGGCATGGAACTGTTTTTGCTGTGTGGGTTGACGACTGCCACCAGATGTGGATCCGAGGCGTCTGCCGAGCTAGTGGATCGGCTATGCCATTTTTTTGGGGAGGAGGCCTTCCAAGAATCAAGTTGCGCGCATCGCGAACCTGGCTTGTAAGCAGGTGACAGGGTTACCGGCAAAATTTGACAGTCAGCTGTGCGAGCCTCAGACTGGCCCCCGACATTTGTGACAGCGGATAGCGGACACCAAGTTCCAGGCCCAGCGACAGCTTAGATTGGTACATGGAGTATCTCAACACCCAGGTGTGTTCCTTAGCTGTGTTTCCGCTCTGCTGCCCAGTCGCATGTCAAACTTGATGCGTTTGCGACTGATAAGGCATTCCCAATATTACATCGTGTGTTGCGCAAGATTCTGAGCTTTTTGCTTTCCGGAGAGGTGCAGGAGGAGAGATTGTCGCAAACGGCCCTAAACATAACTGGTGCAGAGTCAGGTCTTCTGTGTTGCGAGCAGCCAGACAACCCATCTGGTGCAATACTTCTGTCCATGGCAAGACGTCTTTGTGATGCGCCCGCGCCCGAGACATCCCAGGCTGACCCGAGTTGGTCAACACATGCCGATAAGGACTCTGCTCGCGGAGTTGCACTCGGTGCTGGGCGTGGAGCTTCAGGCCGGCAGGAGCTCGTGGACTGCAGTCGGAAATGGATTCCTCTTCCTCTCCGAGGTGGAGGATGCCGAGATGGCAGACAGCCCAGTGGTGCCCGTGCCGCCTCCGCAGCCGAAGCCACAGGACAAGGGGAAATTGCTGGTGCTGACGGTTTGACGCCCCCGCACGAGTCTTTGCCAATGTGGGGCTGGCGTCTGGGCATGTGCCGGGGAATCAGCTTCCTTGACGGTGCCGTTGTCGCTTGTTCGTCACACCGGCGTCCTTCCGACTGTGCTTGCGCAGAATGACCGGAAACCAGTTGCATGGCATCGTGCACCTTTTGCGCATCTCGGGATTGCGCTGCATGTTCGTCGCATGCATTTGTGGCCAGATTCGTTTCGCACGACAAGCGAGGGGTTGGAAGTCAAGACAGAGCAACAGTGCATAGTCTCAAACGCCACGGCAACAGGAGAAAAGTCGGGGCAGTGCCACTGTTGAATCGTGGACGCCTTGCCGCGCTGAATGACGTGCTGATGGTACTGCTATGCTAATGCCAAAGAAGTCATAGAGCAAGTAGTATCGAGTACTGAATCAATAGCAGCTGGTGCGGAATGATACACCATCAACACCATAGTTTGCCACTGGAATCCCTTCGCAGAGTCGGACGGACAACATCTTTACCATCTGCAATCACGTGCCTGCATGCTCGACTTCATCCATGCCTGCGCAGTTTGCCTTCCGCAAATTTGCGATTTCGGTTTGCCGGGCCCATGGTCCAAAGGCAACTGTGCAACTGCGTGCCACCCCGGGCTTCCCTGCGCCGACTGCCAGCAGTTCAGACAGTTCTAAGTCAATTCCACAGCGCGGATAAGGGACATGACATTTGGATGGAAAAACTTCTGCAGCAGCACCAGAAGGGGCGCGTAAACCGCACGGAAATCATTTCTCCCTTCATTTGCAGCCTCTGTCGCTGAGAGCCAAGCTGTGGCGAAGGCAAGCAGACCGGGAGCTTCTCGAGTCTTTTTCTCGTCGCTTGTGGACGTGTCGGCTGCACCGTTTCCCTTTGGCAAGTTCTTCGAGCAACCCAAGGTGCTGTGCTGTGGGCCGAGACATGACCCCGGCCGGACCTCTCATAGGATGCAACGTGTAACGTACACGGAGGAGGCAATGCAGGAAGAGTCCACAAACAAAGGGGACATGTGTGACGACGAATTTGATGCAATCTCGGCTTGATGTTTTGTTCGCACCACGGGACATTTTGTGACGTTGGCGTCGGTGTCACTCAAGTTGTTGTAAACACGCCTTTCGACGACTACCAAAAACAAAAACAGTCGGAGGTGACTGCTTATGCGGCAACCCTCCTCGAGCTGCCCCGGCCACCGAGTTGGGTGAGGGGCCCATGCCTGCGCTGCCTGAGGTCTTTGCAGATGCGCTGGGACAAAAGCGGCCCACGCAGCTCCTACCGTGCCAGCCCACCCCAACGGTGGCTCAACGCCGTCGCAGGGCCGCAGCGGCAACTCCAGCAAGCTCTGGGAGTGCGCTCGCAATGCGGGAAGCGCTGCGAGGGCTGTCCAGCGTCGTGTGAGCGCGGCAACGGGGCTCTGTCCCAGGCGCGAGCGCGAGCGAGTCGCAGCAGCGCCAATGCTAAAAAAAGAATGCTTGGCTGTCAAAGCGCCCGCCAACTTCCAGCCCGAAGACCAAGCGGCAACGGCTTTGCCCGCCTGGCTGGCTTACTGAAGTGCCAGCGCTGGCCTCGCATCGGCACCGGGCGGCACGCACCCGGGCGGCACGCACCCGCCGCTGACCAACGTCGTGTCGACCGCCGTTTGAGCCCCTCGCAGAGTCCAGGTCAATGACAAGCATTTCGAACACGCGCTTGTCCACAGCGGCTCCGGCACAACGTTGAATGCCAAAGGTGACGGTCAGATGGTGAAACCAAGATCGCAACACAAATTCCGATGTCCTTCATGCCAGAAGAGGAATTGCCCGTCCCACTAGGCTTCCTCACGTCCGGAGCAAGTGCATGGGCATGTCGCGCCCAATCCGAACGTTGTCCGCATCTGTTGACGGTGTTTGCTGATGTTTGCTGAATGTGGCTGTGCCGCCGTGGTTCATGTCCGCCCGAGCTCCAGCCTGCGGCTCGAAAATGATTGCGCCAAGCCGACAATGCCGCGGCACCAGATACACGTAGATTGGGATCAATGGGCGAAGAAATAGACAAGGGAATTGTCGCATCCAGACCTGCCGCGATCACCGGCTGGGTTGCGCGCTGCTCCGGGCTCTTGGTGGTCGCAGCTCAGCGCACCTTTGCGGCCTCTCTCCTCGAGCTCCCCNNCCGAGTTGCACGAACTTCTCGCCGAGGCGCGATGGGACCACGCCTAGCAGGCGGTGTCCTCCACCAGCTGCGCCGTCGCTACAATGTAGGGCGCATCGGCACAGGGACCTGCTGCATCGAGACATTATTTGCGGTTAACAAGGCGCGTTGAAAAAAAGGGAATTCGTCGTCGCGTTGAACCAAGCTGGCGGCGAATCGCCCGAGCTGCAAGACGAGGATTTCAACTGACACGCGCCATTGAGTGTCAAGCCAAGTCTGCCAAAACAACCGCTGCTTCCGACGCACCAAATGATGGAACCGGAGCCACTTCGTGCGGAAGTTCTCATGTGACTCCATCGCACGCTCACAGCGCCCACGTCGCCACGTTGTGTTGCGAGATTTTGCGAGCAGCGATACAATCAAAGCGCTCCCAATCCCACCAAGCCGGCTGAGAACGACGCGCTTCAAGCTGGCGCGATGACAGAGCCGGCAAGAATTCCACGACAGCACCACAAGTTCACGCCGTAGCTGTCCAATCCAAAACTTGAGGATGCAACGAGCCTACGACAGGGCCCCAATCTCGGATTACAGGCCAACGGGAGGGAAGTGTGAGCCATACGGTGTGCGCGTGCGTGTGCTGCAAGTGTGCTCGCCATCCTTCGGCCCGGCGCCGGGTCCTGCGTTGGGGCGGTATGCTTGCCGTCGCCGCCCAGCGCGCGCTAGCCCTTTCCATGCTGCACCGTGCCTTGCCAACGAGTGCAGTGGGGCCGCGCTGCCTAGATGGCTCCGTCGGGCGCGTGTGCACTGCGCAGGGACCGCGCATATCGAGACGGTTTGCTCACAAAGGTGCAAGAAAAAAACATTGCTTATCGTGAACGCCAAAAGGCCTGAAACACGGCTTTGACGAGTTCCCGCTTTTAAAACCATAGCGCAGACTCAACACTACTCAAAGCCTGAGCTGATGTCTGAGTGAACAGATCATCCACGTCCAGGACCTTCCACACTGCACATGTGATAGCTGCTTGTGCAAGCCGGAACAGCACTGCAATTTGTGAAGCAACATCAAAAACCTTTGTGGTTTTAACCGCAGCGTTCCGGCAAGGGTATAAGGTATAAATATGCTCGTCAGTGCCTCACCGACGCCAGCCAGACTTTCATCTTTGTGCGGGCTGACATGGGGCAGCAACCTCTTCAGCAATATTCACCCGAGTATCGAAACATGCACAAGCTCAGACGACGCCACTAGTCAGAAGAGCGGCATGGGTGCAATCATCATCCACACAAAACGCCTTTTTGGGAGGGCGCCAGGGCCTGCAGCACGGACGAGGCGGAGCTGTGACAACACGGTTCCGCTTCCGCACCAAGCAATGCTTTTGGCCCGGCGCCGCCCGCTGCCCTTGTGTGCCAGCCGTTGTGGCCCCAGCAAGGCTTTTGGCGACCACGCCCTCGCTTGCACTCGCTCTGTTCTGATAGCTCGCACGGCGAAGATCGTGGAGCACGCGTGGGTGCGTGTGGCTCGGGAGGCCGTGAGCAGGTCGTCCCCCAACAGTGGCGGTCGCACACAACAGCACCCAACGTCGGCTCCGATGACCGGCGTCGCCTGGACCTCGTTTTTTACGGAGCGATGCTTCTCGGTGGGGCCTTGTGCTGCGACGCCGTATTAGCTGACACGCACAGGTGTGCCGCAGCCCTGCGCTGCTGCACACGACGGAGCCGCCTTGCGGGTCGCGGAGCGCCGAAAAAGATCCGCCCACCTGGAACTGAACGGCGGCCCTCAACAACATTCAACAACTCGTGGTGCTGGGGAGTGAGGTTTGCGGACAGTGGAGTGCCGGTGCGCACAAGCTGCTCCGAGACCTCGTCCGTGTCCGTGC